ATCTTCAGAGCCACAGTAAAAAAACACGTTCCCATGAAGCAAAGAAGAAAAGTAGGGGAGCAGAGCCACGAAGTGCACTCAAGAGCCTGGCTCCGCAGAGGCCGAGGCTATGTTGGCATTTCTCTCTGCCTCCAGTTCAGAAACAAGCTGGACTATCTCAGGGTGACTGAATTTTCCTGGGGAAGGGGAGACATTTCTATATTAACAAGAGAAGACACACATTTCTTCAGTTTGACACCATGGCTATTGGGGGCTCTCTTCTGTGAACTTGGCCATACCTCAAAGCAGGAGATTCTGGGTCCCAGGAACAGGAAAAGGAGACCACTTTAGCCAGAGTGCAAGGATGAGAATCAGGCAAAGAACCATCATTAAGTCTCTCAAGATGTAGAGGAAACAGCACCAGGCAGTCCCTGAGTGTCTCTCCCAGGGACTATAGGGGAAGGTTGGGAGTGAGAGCCCAGAAGGCAGCGCCATCTCTTCCCTAACTGCAGTGAACTAAGGAGATACAGTTCCCACAGAGAAAATGGCTGGGTGGTGCTGGTGCCTGCCTTTAATCCCAGCACTCAGGTGGTAGAGGATTTCTGAGTTTGAGGCCAGCATGATCTACAGCAGAGTTCCAGGAAAGGCAGGACTATACAGAGAAAGCGTCTCAAAACAAAACAGAATAGAAAAGAAAACGGCCCACAGGAAGACCACGGTACAAAGAATATAAGCTCCCTTTGGTTAAGATCTCAAGTAGCTGATGTCTGCCATTGTCCCTGTTCCTCAGTCCTCCCCAGGCTTCGGTTCTGGACAGTGACCCCATCCTCATCTAGTATAAATCATTACAGACACCTAGTATAGGTGACCAGCTAACAAGCCCTGACTCCACTGACCCATGAGGCCCTCAGAGCCTTGGCCCCAAAGCCATTTCTCCAGTTTCATCTCCCACCTTTCATTTGTCACCCAGCCCGAAAGTCACAGACTCTGCTGCTCCCCAAAGCAATAGGGTTCAGAAAGCAAGGGCAGAGCTATGGTGTGAATCAGAGAAAACCCCCAAACTAGAGCCTGAGGTCCCCTTCAAAACTGCTGTAATAGGGCTGGCGTGATAACTCAGCAGATCAAAGAACTTGCTGCCAAGTCTGTCAACCTGAGATCCACTTCGGAGCCCACGGATAGAAGGGGAGAACCAACTCCCGAAAGTTTTCCTTAATTTCCACACATGAACTATGACGTGCCCCCATCTACTATCAAGTAAATAAATGTAATAAGCAATTTCAGTTGTAATAGATGCAATTTATATGTTTCCCATGCTTTTTTGATAAAACCTTTTTTAATTTCTTTCTTTTTTTTTTCTTTTTGTTTTTTCGAGACAGGATTTCTCTGTGGTTTTGGAGCCTGTCCTGGAACTAGCTCTTGTAGACCAGGCTGGTCTTGAACTCACAGAGATCTGCCTGCCTCTGCCTCCCAAGTGCTGGGATTAAAGGAGCGCACCACCACTGCCCGGCCCTTTTTTAATTTCTAAAATGAAAATATATCATTTGCCCTTCCCTTACCTTCCTCCAACCCTTCCCATGAACCTGACTTGCTAGCTCTGTCTTCATCTTTGCTCTTACATATATGTGCTTAGGAATGAGTCCTTTCCTTACACATCTGTTGCTGGGACACTGAGAAGTCATTTCTCCAATCGACTGATAGATTTACTAACTCTTTAATGGAAGCAATGCGCTACAGTGCAAACAGGAGACTGACTCTCCTTCAGCTGGCTGTTGACAAGCCACCGTCTCTCTGGGCTTAAGCTTCTTTCTCAGCAAAAGACAGGCTTTGAGCTAGACAACTCCATTCACATAGTTTGATGTTTTAAAATTCTACTTGTATTTCACTCTCTGTTTTTCCTCTGTGACTATAACAACTGAAGACAAATAACTGTAAAGCATAAAGACAGCACAAACATGGCCTGTGTGTTAAATTACTGTGAACTGTGCTCCTGGGAACCCAACTGTCACAAATAACATGGGCCAGCAAGCCATGGAAGTCAAATGCCAGATGGGAACCATTCCCGGCTCCGTGGCTTCTGTTATAACCACCTGATCCCACTTGATCCTACTGCTATCGTATTGTTAAAACAAACTCAGACAACACATACAGAAGGGGGAACGCCTCTAGCAGGTAGAGTTACAAGTTCGTGTCCTTGAAGGAAAAGGCAAACAGCTGCGCTCCAACTAGACCCAAACATGATGCGCCACCATCTGAAGCCATGGGGCCAAGCAATCACACACTAAGACTTCTAAAACTCTGAGCCAAAAGAAATCTTCATTGGAAGTTGGTCATCTGAGATGTTGTGTTGCAGTAACTGAAGCTAACCAAAGGACAGAGCCAGAGGGAGACCACAAGGTTGTAGCACACTGAGACCAAGTGCAGACTGAGCAAAAAGGGAACAATGAAGTCTCAGAGAGCGGATTAGGAAAGAACGCCGGAAACACGGGTAGCAGCAGATCCTCAGACTTTCTTGGTCAGCCAAAAGTGTCGGGAGGTTATGTTTTAGAAAGAGGAAAGCCAGGTGTTTTTAAAATAAAGATATCAGCCTAGGGTATAGCTCTGAAGCACTCACCTGGCATATACAAGGCCCCAAGTTTGATCTCCACTCCACCTCTCTCTGCCCCACCCTCCAAAAGATGAGCTGATGCCCATATGTACAGGAAAGGTCACAGTGACAGTCCAGTGTGAACTGACTTCCCTGTCAAGAGCAGAGAGAATAGGGCTGGAAGAAGAGAAAAAGAAACTTGCTGTCAGGGTGGCCAAGTGGACTAAGGCGCTGTGCTCAGAAACTTGCATCAGCTTCATGCACATGAAAATAGTATTTTGGAGATTAGTCTGTGAGCCAGGACTTTCATGAGTTTGGTGAGGCCACACAAGGGTCACGGCAGGTCAGAGAAAGGCCAGTCCTTGTAGCCCTCTCAGGGAAAATAGAGACTGGACTGGCTGATCCACCAGGACTCCCAGGAAATGGACAGGGAATTATATTGGAGGAAGCCATAGAACATCCATCTCCAACAGTGGGTGTGGCTGCTTGCTTTGTAAACGATCAAAATGAAGGCAGCCAACAGTGCAGGTGCCTCTCTAATCAGGTCCCAGGACTTCCTCCAGCATCCTCACACAATCCTATCTATCGTGTAGGTGCTGCTAATGTCCCCATTCTATACTGGATGATGGGATCTGGAGCTTCACACACGCCAGGCAAGTCCTCCACTACTGAACTCTATCCCTGGCTCTTATTTTTGAAAACAAGAGTCTTACTATTTAGCTGAGCCTAGATACAAACTGGACCCTTCTGCAGCTACCTCCTGGGTGCTAGGATTACAAGCATGCATAACACCAGGTTTAAGTATCTCCACTACAAAGAAAAGAAAACAAGACTCAAGGGCCTCAGTGGTTTATTAGATTTACATGGTTATATGTGGCATAAGCAAGACATAAACCCATGTCTCATGAGTCCACAGCTGTGCTATGAGGTACTGTAATGATGGTGACATTCACCTGGTAAGAGGATGTGGAAGTGTATCTAACTGTGCTTGCTGTCTTTGAATTGTTTGACTCCTGAGGAAGAAGCAACAGCTGCTAAAAGACATTTGACTATAAATGCTGCTGGAGTAAGCCAACCTATATATTTTGAAAATGCCTTGACTTCAAAATTTAAGTCAAAAGATATGTTCCTTTGGAGAAGAGATTTTGCTTTTGTTTGCATAGGAAATGAGAGGCTGTGGATTCATTCTGGATTAAGAAAAATAAGGTTTGATCAAGGAAGACCCACTGAAGAATCTCCAGTGGGAATGGGTGGCTCAGATGATCCAATGTTTAAGAGCACCTCTGTTGTAGTTTCCTCTACATCTATATCCAGAACAGACTTAAGACTGCTGGCAGAGATGATCCAGCCTCACAGAATACTCCAATCAGAACTTGCCTCAGTCTCAAGAGTGCTGGCCAAGATAATCCAGCCTCACAGAATATTCCAGTAAGAATTTGACCATAATCCTAAATTTTCTTTGGGTTCCCATAAGATTATCATACTCCCAATCAGCAGAAAGTAGCCTAGAAAACTATATCCACATTCCCAAAAAATGGATTATGGATGTTTTGAGTGTTGATTACAAGTTGTTATGGATAATGGTCAGGAAAAAAAAACTAAACAAAGATGATTAGATTCAGGGTTCGTATTGTGAAAAGAAAAATGGGGAAATGCTGTGGGATAATGATCTTGTATACTGTAAAGATTTGTCACTTGTATTGGCTTAATAAAACACTGATTGGCCAGCAGTCAGGCAGGAAGTATAGGTGGGGCAACCAGACTAGGAGAATTCTAAGAAGAGGAAAGGCAGAGATGCAGTTGTCAGTCAGAAGCAGAGGAATCAAGAGGAAGCAAAATGATAATGCCATAGTAAGAAAAGGTACCCAGCCATGTGGCTGAACATAGATAAGAAACATGGGCTAGTTGTAAGAGGTAGTTAGTAATAAGCCTGAGCAATAGGCCAAACAGTTTATAATTAATATAAGCCTCTGTTTATTTGATTGTGGGACTGGGTAGGATAGAAACTTCAGTCTACAAGTAAGACCTATTTTAAGTCACTCACTATTTCTATCTCAAAGCTTATAATTCTAAAGCACTAACAGATTAGAGCCATTTCCCATGCATTATCTCCCTCTGAAAAGCAATTCTGGACTTCAGAAAGGAGTTTTGGTTCCTATTTATCAGACAAGGCACAGGCTCTGAGATAGCAAGAGACCACCAGCTGGTAGCTGGCAGAAGCAGAATGTGAATATGTTGCTCAGATGTCAAAGTGGTGATGTCCTTGAGTGCCACTGACATCTCAACTAGCCATCTCAACATTTTCTTTTCAGATGTTCTTCTTGAAAGGTCAGAAGAGGGAACCAACAAGGGGTTTGCAACTTATGGACCATCAGTCCCCACACTAACATTGAGCCCAACTAAACCAACAACACTTATGAGTTTATGAGCATGATACCTGCTGTGGAATCATAGAAGTCTTGAAGCCTCCCAGGTTTATTCTCCATGTCTTCATATTCTGATGCCTGAAGGATCATTTCACACTGGTCCAGCTGCTTCACGAATCTGGCTTCTGCACTAGATTGGGTCTCATATTCCTAAGGAAAGGGATATAGAAAGGGCATGATTAGGCTGGGGAGTCTAGGAAATTTCCTATTTGAGTACCTGGAGTCAGAGTCACAGCTTAGGGAATGAGTGTTCAGTATCAACTGCATTTCTCCACTGTGTACTGATAATTAGAGACTCTTGACTTTAGAGCACAGTTTAGCACTAGGATATCACGCAAGATAACAGTCCACAGATGCCACCCAATGCTCTGGAAGTCTCTCAGATAAACACATCTTAAACACTTGCAAATCCTTCTCTTACTGTCTTGGTTTCAAGACCAACATTCTTCCCTTCCTTCCTTCCTTCCTTCCTTCCTTCCTTCCTTCCTTCCTCTCTCTCTCTCTCTCTCTCTCTCTCTCTCCCTTTCTTCCTTTCTTTCTTTCTTCCTTCCTTTCTTTCTTTCTTCCTTCCTTCCTTCCTTCCTTCCTTCCTTCCTTCCTTCCTTCCTTCCTTCCTTCCTTCCTTCCTTTCTTTCTTTCTTTCTTTCTTTCTTTCTTTCTTTCTTTCTTTCTTTCTGAGACAGGGTTTCTCTGTGCAACAGTCCTAACTGTCCTGGAACTCCCTTTGTAGACCAGGCTGGTTTTGAACTCACTGTGATCCATCTGTCTCTGCCTCCCAAGTGCTGGGATTAAAGTTGTGCACCACCACTGTCCAGGAAGATCAACATCCTTTTTTAAAAAAATGTATGTGCATGTGTGTCCACGTGTGTGCAGATGAACATGTTTGTTATTGATGTCCATCTTGTTTGAAAGAGACAGGATCTCTTATCAGCCTGTGGTTTGCTGTGTAGGCTAGAAGGCCAGTGAGCCCCGGAGGTCTGCTTGTCTCTGCCTCCCTGGACTGGAAACTGACTGCATGTATAATTTCTCTATACTTGCTTTTAGTCCGCCTGCCTGCCTATCTGCCACTCCCCTGCCACCCACTGTCTATCCCCTCTGTCTGTCCCTCCCTTCCTCCCTCCCTTTTCTCTAACACATGCTCTGGGGATCAGACTCAAGTCCTCATGCCTGTAAAACAAGTATGTTACAAATTGCCTTATCACCCCACTCTAAGATCAGACACTTTGGTCTACTTGAGTTGAGTAGAAGAAATCTAGTTAACTTCAAGATTTTTTTTTCATTTTACACTTCTCAAAGTTTGCATTCTCTCCTCATTTCACTCAGACTGCTTCTTCCTCTAAGCTAATTAATACCTTTGCTAATTACTTTTCATTACAAGTTTACCTGGAAATCTCTGTGCTAGAGCAGTTAAGTCCCCCTGGGTTATACCTACTGGGGACATTAGAATCTATGAATTTTATGTGTGTCGGTGGCAGGATATGGTGAATGTGGTGGGAGGGGAGGAGCCTTTTCACCTTTTCTCTTTGCCCTCTCCCCCCCACTCCTGAGTCACACAGGGAGTTCCAGAGGGCTTTCTTCTCCAAGCAAAATGTTCCACTTGCCACAAGTTCCAATTAAGTCTGCACAGGATCGTTCTATTAAGACCAAAGTATTCCCAACCGGTTTCCCGAAGAATCCTCATTTGCAATTCCACCCAGATGTGTTCAGATAACAAGCCTGTCAGGCTTTCTTGGCACGGACACATGGTATAAATCACTGAGGTTTCTTAGGTTGCATTCAAAGCCCTCTCCTTATAAAAGCAGCCATCTGAATTTGGGAAGAGCTGAATTTTACAAAGGGGGATCATTTAGACATGAAGCCCAATATATTTTGCTTTATCTCAAAGATACTTTTAAAAAATTACATTTTATTTAAGTGTTCATTCACATTCATAGTTATATCGTTCTATTAAGTAAATTCAAGTTCACAGTTTAGTCAAAGGAAACTGAATACTCTAAGCAAATCAGTGTAAAACTTCTTTTCTGCTCAAAGTGAGGGAAAAAAAAACCCTTTCAGAGTGTTAAGAAATATGGTACATTGTTGTGCTGGATAGTTCTTGACAGCTTGATACAAAACCAGGCCACCTGGGATGAGGGACTCCAGACTGAACTGACTCTATCAGAATGGCCCAGGTGCATGTCTGTGGGGGCATTTTCTTTATGAATGATTGAGAGGGCCCAGTCCCACTGAGGGTGGTGCTACCCCTGGGCAGATGGCTTTGGGTTGCATAAGAAAGCAGACCAAGCAAGCCTGTAAGCAGCTCTCCTCTGTGGTTCACGCCTCTGCTCTCGCTTCAGTTATTATCCTGACTTCCCCCAATGATGAACTATTACTAGACCATGTAAGCCAAATAAAACCTGTCTCCACCAAGTTGGTTTTACTGATTGGTATTTAAGAAAAAATAGAAAGCAAACTAACACAATTGATTGCATAGAGAATTCTAACAAATTTACAGAATATTTTAAACAACATGCAATCTGTTGGATTTGTCCCTTAAATAATTCATTGTAAAGGCATTCTCTAATTTTATCTTTCAGTAAAAAGGCATGGGGTCCGGGGGATGCCTCAGGAGTCAGGAGGTAAAGGTGCTGCCACCAAACCTGACGACCTGAATTTGATCACAGGAACACAAACGGTGGAAAGAATAGACCAACAACCATAAGTTGTTCTTTGACCTTCACATACATGCTGTGTCCTGCATGCGTGTGCACACATGCACATGGATAATAAATACATTTAATATATTTTTTTAAAGCCAGGGTTCAGCAAAGAGCACTATAAACCAAGCTCTCGGGGTGAGAAGTCTGATATTTAAAGAACCACAAGAGTGGTTTCTCACATCAGCCTGAGAGTCACAGGACAGAAGAGGAAAGAGAAAAAGGCTACAGATGGAAGTGAGGGTCTGTGCCTCCGGGGCCTGGGCTTCCTGTATGGAATCTCGGCTACTGCGCATCACCGGCATCAAGGCGCGGTCCAACAGGAAGAGGCATACTCAGATTTGATGCCCAGCAAGATCACTTTAACTTGTAGTATGGACAGCAGTTAAGTTAGAACCCGGGGAATCAGAGTCCAAGACTTTGTAGCATCAGCAAAAGTAAGATAATCACGGCAGCATGGCTAGGAAAATATGGGAGGATTTGAGAAATGCTAATGATGGAGTAAAATAAATACAACAAATCTATATGCAAGTGAGATAGCCCACCTGCATCCACGAGCCATGCTTAAGACCAGCCTCTGTCTGAAGAAAGCATTGCAATACAAGAGGGGCTCAAAATAGGCAGCGAGAGTTCTTAAGCTTGCAGATAGACACTGGGAAAGCAAGATCCTGTGCACCCTAGCAGGAGATGAACACGAGGAGCTACACAAGGACAGTCACCCCTGCCTGACCTTTGGGTCATCCTACCAGGACAGGGAGCCATGACAGCAAGAGAATCAAAACTGAGTATGGTAAAGGTTATCAAGACGGATAAAAAGAAAAGATCCTTAAAAAAAATAGGAAAGGGAAACCTAGTTGGGAAGTCCCTAAAAGCAAACCTCCATATTTCCCCCACAATACATAAAAACATGCACAACCAACCAACAACAACAGCAGTTACACTGGGGAGGCAGATCTGAACTGCATGTCCTTCCAAGAGTTCAGGAAATACGATTCCAAACTAAAATGAGCAACAGAAAAGCACATTGATCAGATGTCACATGAACTTAGATGGTAGAATGGGAAGTAAAGTCACACACCCCACATTCATATCAGAGAGACATTCTCAGATTTAAAACCAGATCAAACCGACCACACACTACCTCAAAAGAACTCACACACACACAAACACACACACACACACACACACACACTGTGACATTAAAGAACAACCTAGAAAAACATTAGAGATAAAGGTTATTTTAGAAAGAAATCTAAATGATGTGATTAAGAGCAACTGAGCATGATAAGTGTGCTGAAGTGAATTAAAGACAAAAATGGAGTTTAGAAATTAAGGTACAAAGGGTTTCCGAGATCTTGATAAAGATTGGCAGTTGGCAAAAAAAAAAAAAAAAAAAAAAAAAAAAAAAAAAAAAAAAAAGAAAGAAAAGAAGTAGTAGAAAAAAAAGAAAGCAAAACTAGACATCAATAAAACTTCTCTACAATTACTTTTTCCCCCTAAAGTATGCTGAAAGCACAGGCTGAATACCTAAGGAAATTAGCTCAGGATAACCAATAAAAAGATACATTCTAATAAAAATTACCAGACAGAAGAGAAATTCTTTAGACTCCTATATAAAGACAGAATCTGACACAGAACAACAACAAAAAAAAGATGATTAGATGTTGACAGCAATGCTTTAAGTCAGAAGAAAATGAGAGAAATATACTCAAATATATTCAGGAAAAGAAAATGTGACCTCGGGACTTTATATCCAGAGAAACTGAATTTTATGGATTACAAAATAAAAGTACAGAGAAGCTGAGTAAAATATAAGAAGTTAGAGAACAATGCTCTAGCAGCCCTTCCACAGAATCAACAACAGACAAGACTCAAAAAAGCAAACTGCTCAGGAGTTAACAAATACTAGAAGTCAGCGGTCTGGGTGGCACGTACTGGTGTGAGGCAGACGTAAGGCCATTTCTGCTGCCAAGGAAGTCATCACATCCAATCATATTTTCTCACCTTTCCTGTAAGAACTGCAAGCAAAGAGTCAATGAGAGTCAAACACAAAACTATATAAGCTGCAAAATGAAAACCATTAGAATACTACCTTCCTGCAACCTCCAAGGTTGAGAGGGTACAAGCATAAAGAAAAAGCAGTTATTACACACTGCCTCTGCTCTAGAAGAGGAAGGATCTGGGAGGAATGAGGCGGACTAAAGTCTCATGTAATAGCCAACTGTAGTCTCGGACAATTTGTACTCTGAGGGTTGAAAAGAGTCACCTGAGTAGAGTGTACAATCACAAGGACAGGTCACACGTGGCAAACCATGTTTTCCCACAGAGGCCTATGAACAAATAGCAATAACTAGCTATAATGAATGATTTGAAGTAGACTCCCTCCTTCCACTTCACCCGAGAGGGGCAGAAAACACATTCCAAGACCAATTCTGTGCTTTGAAGAAACTGAAGCCAACATGACTCTTGTCTTATTTTCTTAGCGTTTTCTCTCAGGTACTGAGAGTTCTCATATGAGTTCATGTACGTCTTGAATGGGCACAACACCCACCTACCATGTTGTCAAAAGGATCCAGCCTAAGTTTAATTAGTTGCTAACCTGTATCAAATAATAGAAGACCTCAGCAAAGAGTATGCAACTTTTTTTTGGATTCAGTAGATAAGAATTTTCAACAGATAATTTGAAATACAAAGAAATAAATGAAGGGAGATACTTTAGATTCAAAGAGATCTGAAGGACATATTAAGTTTAAAAAATATACACAAGATTGAAGCACAACATCCAAGGATGAATGCTAAGATGAAGATGGCATCCAAACAATTGCTATGAAAATGAGGGTGGTGGTTATTACAGCGGGCAGGGGACTGAGAGGCTGGGAGATGGTTCGGGGATAAGAGTGTTCGCTGCTCCCATAGGAGGATCTGAACTTGAACCCCTGAAGATCTTACGTGAAAAGCCTATCACAGCTGCAGCTGAATGTATCACATCTGTAATCGCAGTGCTGACTCAGGGTGGAGACAGGAGGAAGTCTGGGGCCTACTGGCTGCCAGTGTAGCTCCAGGTCAGGGGGAGACCCTGTCTCAAGGAAATAAGGTAGAACGCAATAAAGCAGGACACATGGCATCCTCCTGTGGTCTCTGCAGATGCACTGACAGGTATACACACACCTCTATATCACACACACACACACACACACACACACACACACACACACATATAAATGGAAGGATGAAAGACAAGCAAGAATGAATATACCAGAGACCTGAGGGATGAGCTGCAGGCAAAAGAGGACTTGCTGGGTAAGCAACACAGAAGCTGCATGGAATTTCAGCAAAAGCAGTGACAGGTGGCACACTAGCAGTCAGTCACACTGCAGCGAACTTCAAAGAACAGAGTTGGGGAGTATGGGCAAGTCTTTACCTGCTTAGTTATGAAGGAAAGTAGAAAAATGTGGCAAGTGGGGAGATCTGCTTCAAAAAAACGTTACACAGACATAGACCTACAAACTCATACAGAGCTAAGAAAGTCCACATCTATGCAGCCTCTACTTCCTTAATTAAAAGCAAACAAGAACAGAAGAGACGATCTGCTATAAAATGGAGAGAGAGGTAGCAAGGCAGGTGGTTGAAGGGAGCAATGAACACCCCAGAGACAGAGAGGGAGGTGCCTGAGCCTCTTCAGGAACGTGGCTCTAAGGTGAGAGGCTCCCACACAGCACTCTGCCACCTGCAGGTGGACTGGAAAAGGCAAATGACCCAGTGCCTCAGCTAGGGTTTCCTAAGCAGCAGGACAAAAAGGCAGCCCTAGGTCCCGAAAGCTGAGGAGAAAGGGAGGAAAGTCGGGAATGTTGGCTCCGAGGTGTGAGTCTGCCTTCCTTCCATACCCTCCTTTCTCTGACCTCCTGGTGGCTTTTGCTCCCGAGTCCCAGGAGCCTGACATTGTTCTACTCTACTCAGAGGATACATGAGAAGACATTTGTAAAAGGAGAACAAGTTAACCCAACTGCATTTCCAAGTGACTGACACCTGACAGTACTGGGAGAAAATTTCAGGCAGAAGAGAATGCCTGGATGGGCAGTTGGTTAGGTGGGCATTTAGTCTGGCACGCTGGACCCACGTGTGCTTTGGGGATCCAAGGTCATTCTCTAAAATGCAGTGCAGGTGGTGGGGAGACAGTCAGCTGTGATGTCCTCACAACACAGCACAACCACAATCACAGCTGCCTGTGGTGCTTTCAGACACGAGCAAAATGGACACACTTCCTCCTGGTTTACTGAAACGTCATTCTATCTCTATGGTGAAAGAGATTACAATCCTGAACGTTTAACCCCTTAAACCTCTGGACTGGCAGGTGTTTATAATGCTGAACAGCTGTGGTGACCACGCATCAGTATCAGCCTCCTGGTATTTTCTCTGCAGCTAGTTATTGCCCTAAGCTTTGATCTAGGTACCAATTTCCTAAACCAACATCAGGACTGAAGGCAGACAAGATAGTGTGTGTGGATGAGAGACAGGGGCGAGAACTCACCATGTTCTAAACATTTTACACTAATTACTTTAACCCCCATGTCTATAGACTGCCATATCACAGATGGAGAAATTAAATTGCCCTAAGTCATATAGGTAATAACTAAGAGAACAAGCATGTGGACACTGGCAGTAGAATACCAAAATCCATAGACTATCATTGCCTAGGCATTAATTACTATGTCTCCTATTGTGCCGAAAAATCCCTGTCTGCCCGGGACCTTAAATGTGACCTATGACTGTAACTTATATAGAAACAGGGTCTCTGCGGAAGTGACTGAGTTGTAATCTAGCCCCAATCCAGGAAGCTTGGACACAGATACAGACAAATAGGGACGTCACCACGCAGCTGGTGGGTGGGAACCGGAACAAGCAGGGAATGCCAAGGACACCAGTATTCTTTGATAAGCTCATCCAGTCAGTGTATGACACGTACAAGATGGAAAAAACCATTACCTATTTGGGAGGTATCAAGCGTTTTATATCTCTTCAAGTCAAAAATTCTAAGTAACTGCAATACTTGACTTGGAAGATACGATTTTTAAACCTGTAGAATTTGCAGTAAGATTTCCAGTTCGTTGCTGGTGACTAAGAAAATAACCGTATAGATGCTGCCATTGTGGTTAGAACAAAGAGAGGCAAAGGCGGGCAGATTCTTATGAAGCTTCCCAAATTTTGGGAGTGTTTTGTCCTTAAGAGATAATGGAATTCACTTCACAAACTCACGCCTCTTCTTTTTCTCTGCATGGATGATGCGCAGCCTTACTCTGTTACCTGACCTAATGGAGCATGCTTCCAATGCTACACGAAATATATACTGAGACATTCCCCCAAAGAACCCTGGCATACTGTAACGGACACCTTCTGCAGCAGCTCCAATCTAAACTCCATGCACACCATCCCTGACTGAATTCTCCTCACCCGAGGTAATTATTAAAGGTCCACAGTGTCTCAGCAGACTCTAGCAATTCCTTATTTTAGAACACTAATACATGGAGTGCATACAATAGACGGCCTCTAGCAAGGAGCCTAAGGCGGCACTCAGAAATCAAACCTATTTATCCGCTAAAGCCACTAACTTTCACTCGGTAAGGGATGAATGATGACTCAAAAAGCCCATGGTAGTTGAGGTTCAATTCTGCTTATAAATAGACTGAGATCAGACGAAGGATTTTAAAACCTAGTTTTCTTAGTTGTGGATGAGCAGGTGGACCTGTAGGACTCTCGTTTCCTAGAAGAAAGACAGACTAACTAGAATGAAGTAGCTTACCCGTGGGTGTTCAGGCTCGAGGCTCTGGTCCCTGTGTTACACCCCACTGCCTAGAAAGACTGACTTCACCCCACATTTGAGTCAAACCACTGCAAGGACAGGGCACTACCAACTCTGATGCTGCAGACCATGGGGTGTCTAGGGAAAGTTCAGGGTCCAGTCCTAGACGCGTCCCATTTTCCTCCTGAGTGACAATCTGATTCAGCATAGGAGGGAGTGGGAAGATATCTTCAGGAAAGACAGAGAAGGATCCCGGATAAGGGAATGTGATTCAGAGGACAGAGTTGTCGGAGAGGGATTGGATGGAAATGAGAGGCGATTGGACGGGAATGGGAGAGTTGACAGAGGGCATTGGGGAGGATGAAGAAAGGGCTATCCAAGAGCAGGAAAGAGGGCAGGCTGAGGGGCTCCATCAAGGAGAGGCATTGTGCTCTGGACAGAGGAACCAGTAGAAAACAGAAAGAATGAAAGAAAACATTTAGTCCTGCTTTTTCATCATTCCTGCCCTTTCTTTTCAGCCTCGTGCACCCTTGGGTGAGCCCAGCCTACGCCTTTTACCTTGATTTCACTCTGTTCTTTTTTCCCACCCCAAGAAAGGGTTTCTCTGTATACCAGCTCTGGCTGTCCTGGAACTTGCTTTGTAGACTGTCTCCCAAGTGCTGGGATCAAAGACATCGCCACCACCACCCGGCTTCACTTTGTCCTTTTAGGGATGGACAACAGACTCAGTAAAAGAACAGTATTCAAGGTCTCAGATCTACAACTCGGTACGATGCGATTAAATCTCAGTTATAAACTCTCCCAAAGCCATGGATCCAGAGGACGACTTCAGCTATCATCCCTCAGATGTCATTTGCCTTGTTTTAAGAGTGTCATTCGCATTTTAAGAATCAGAAATGGCGGCTGGGTAGATGGCTTAGTCAGTTTTCCTTGCAGGCAAGAGCACCTAAATTCAACTCCAGGACCACGTGAAAAAGCTAGCCAGGTAGCACATGCTTGTAACCCCAAGGTGGATGCGGTAGGGGGCCATGTGAATCCCTGGGGTTCAGAGGCCGTTGGAGACCCTGTCCCAAAAACAAGGTGGGGGACACCTAAGGAATGACGGCCTAAGGTTGACCTCTGGCCTCCCCACTCACTCATACGCGCATACACACATGCACCTATACACAAAGCAACATGACGTGAACATGAATGCGAACACAGAAAAGAATTAGGTGTGGGTACACGGCTGTGAACAAAGAAGTCGGAAATACAAGCAGTGTGCGCCAAGAGCCGCAGTGAGTGCTGGGGTGGTAAGAAGAGCAGCAACAAAGACAACGAAAAGTTTCTGCCAGCACAGAGAGATTTCTGTAGCAGCTGAGGGACAAAACTACAGTATAGAGACCGTTAGTACAACCTTTGCAACGAAAGCACGGATAAGCCATATAAATTCAGTAACAGTTAAAAAAAACCAGTCTAGTATGTATACTCACTTCCCAGAGTTCATAGAGCTCCTTCCTGAGGTCCTCTGGCAGCAGCTGGGTGATCTGCTTCATAGCCTCCTGAAATAAGAAGCCATGAATTCCATTACATTCGCCTTCATCGAAGTCAGTATCTAAGCCTACAACTAGCCTACAAAAGCCAAACAAGGGACCCAGATTCCTCAAAATAACCCCAGTAGAATAAGCAGGCCTTTACGGGTTCCAGTTTTTTTTTAAGTACTATATTCATTTTCTGTTATTTTCATTATTGCAGAAACTTAAAAGCATCATATAAAAAGTTAGTCATTGTCATTGACATAACAGAAGTCCCAATTCTTGAGGTACGCAGATTCCCAGAATGCACTGCTGAACACAGACCTCCCTATAACCTCAAGAGGCTGCCCAGATGAAGGCGCTGTCCTATCCTCTAATTGTCCACATAGTGTCCACAACAGGACAATGACCAGAGGGGTAGAGTGACCGTGTCCCCAGCAACCTTTTGAGGGGATGTCCTTGCAACTCATACCTGGCCACGCTGGGCCTTTCCACGATGTATCCAGCAGTCTAAAAATGCCTTTGTTACCATAAGGAGCCTGAGAGGTATCCAAAATCCAGAGAGAGGAGAATGAAAGGATAAGAGGTGTCCTTTGTAAATACTTCTAAGTCTCCCGTGGTGTCCTCAGTTTCTCCCTTGGCTTCAATCACCCTAGTATTTTTCCAAATAGCACATTTTTAAGGTCAACTAACTTACCAATGGCCGTCTACACCTTCACTATCTCATCCTGTTTAGCCCTGACTCGACTCTACTCAGGTGTTAACAAGAGGTCAAACTCTTTGAAAAGAATAAGCTATAAGCATCAACTTCAGTAATAGCACTGTCTTATATAAAATAAAATGAGTTGGAGAAAAGCGATGAAAAGAAAATGAACATTTGTGTTGATATTTATACGGTATTGGAAGGCAAAACGTCTTAGAGCATACATCTGTGTCTACAGCAAGCAGTATATGCCAGTACTAGTAATATGCTCTTACAAGTGGCACGACCATCCAGAGAGGCCGCTCATACAGCTGGAATGTCACACCATGGAGAAGCATAGAATGGATTTTACACTTGCACTTCTTGTTCCTTTATTGTAAACCTCAGCAATATACTTGAGAACACACATTTTTGTAAATTGTCTTCATACACAGATTACTTTTGACTATACTATTCCAGAAATACATTTATTTCTTGCTTAGTTTTTCCTCCAAATACATTTGTATACAGCTTGTATACGGAAGTCCAATCTTCTTGTCCCTGGAGAAGACTGATCCTGGCCCAGCAGTTATTAATTGCCTATAGCTCTTCCTGTAGAGGTGAGGGCTTGTGAGATTTGGCTGCCTAAACAAGACCCCCACAGTAACACTAGCTGAGAATTACATTTTAGAGAGCTCTCAGTTAATATTCCTTGTTTGACGGCTTATATCACAGAATCATGCCCACCTTAAAAAATGCTATCAACCTCACTGAAGATCCTCGTCACGGGCCAAGACCTCACTTCTGTACTTTCAAGGTGTCATTCAGCCGTACATATTGGGTGACAATGCCCTTAGCTTCTTCCTTTGCTAGCAAATCATGCCAAGAATTTGCTTCCACTGAACTGAGAGCAGCTCTCACGAAATCCACAAGTCTCTCTTATCTGTTTCCCGGCAATCACCTGCAAAGCTTGTCCTTCAAACCCTGACACGGCTGAGTGGTATGGTGGCTCACTCAGATTCTAGATCTAGACTGGTCTTAAACCTTGGCTTGGCATTCACTAGCTGAAGATCCTGGACTAGAACACTTAGCCCTTTTGTCTTGTAGTTTCCTCATTTGCAAGGTGGCACCTTCCTAAGAGGGTTGCATGGTCTGAACGTGGGCACACACAGTCCTTATAAGTCAGCATGAGTCCTCAATACATATTCACTTTGAGTTTTCACTTTCTCGACCTTCCAAAGACTCCCGTAATGAAGGAAGGCCTATTCTCCTTTCACCCAGTTCGTTAGCCACTTTGTCCCTCCCAGATACAGGAATAGAATGACTCCACAATCTATTTGAACAAGTTTCTCTCTCTGCAAAAGAGCATATAGCTGGCCACTGCTATATCAGCATATAAGTCCAACCCCTTAATCCTCATGATGCCTGTTAAGGCAACACTGGCGAGCTTGGGTTATAATAAAAGGTTCATGTTATCGTGGTGGAGGAAGGGGTTAGACACAAGCGTTGCTTTTGGCCCCCTTTCCAAGTTCTGTCTTCTCTGCCCTCATTCTGCCTTTCATCTTAATATCAAATATCTTCTATAACAGTCATCCTCCAGTACACCAAGTAGTCATCCGAAGTCCCCCCACCCCCTCAACTTAAATCCTGGCCAGCCACTCAAGAAATTTCTGGGCAAATGATGCCTCTGGTTCACATTATGCATGTTTCTCCTGAGGCCAAGAAGCCTTCATTTAATTATCTTAATGCATGGCTCAGAGAGCTGAATTTTGTTCATAAACACCATCTGTATAAGGAAGCCCAATCTTCCCGTGCCCAAACCCAGATTGACTGCAGGAAGACATAAGGGCGGACCAGCTCTCTTCAGGCCCCGGGGTTTCTCAGCCAAGAATTTGACGATCCTAAAGACGTTTTCCTGGTCCTTCTGCCTCTGACATTTATTCCTCTGAATCAGCAGGAGTGGGCAGCAGCAAGGACAGCTGGGGCCAGAAACGCTTGTTTCCTAAGCAGAATGCGGCAGGAAAAGAGACAGCAGGACCTTGTGATCCCGCCTCGGGGTGACAGGAATCAGGACCCAGCCGGTCTGCAGAGTTGCAGGTTTCTCCCTCTGTGGTTGCAGTTCCTTGACAGTGTCTGTGGTTCTTTTCCAGAAGTTTCTGGCATGCTCTTCTGTGGAGAAAATCCTCGTGCACTGTCAGAGGGACAGCATATCTCTTCTCTGTCATTTCCCGTGTCTGCTCCTTGGTCTAAGGACACGGTTTTCACTCTACATCCATACTCCTGTGGAAATAGAACCAACATCCTCCAGCCAGCTTCAGGAACGAGGAGATTTTTTTTTCTTCATCCTCTTCACCCAGGTGACACTTCATTACCCGTTATTTTCTGGCTAAAGTACCGATTCCTCAACAGCTGAGATTACAGCAGCTTGCTTTCGTTCTGTGTGCATTCTGTCAAGCAACCTAATAATTCTTTTTCACAACAGTCTAGACCTACATGGAGAAATATTTCCTTCCATCATGATAAACAAGCTACATTTTGGACCTGTGGGTCTTCTGTTTTTTGTTAATTTCATTGGTTGAATAAGGAAACTGCCTTGGCCTTTTGATAGGACAGAAAATTAGGTAGGTGGAGTAGACAGAACAGGATGCTGGGTAGAAGGCAGTGTGGCAGACGCCATGAAGCTCCAGCCCAAGATGGACATAGGTTAGAATCTTCCTGGTAAGCCACGACCTCGTGATGACATACAGATTATTAGAAATGGGTTAATTAAAATGTGAGAGTTAGCCAATATGAGGCTAGAAATAATGGGCCAGGCAGTGTTTAAATGAATACAGTTTCCGTGTAATTATTTCAGGTGAAAACTAGCCGGGAAGCCGGGTGGCGGGAAGCAGTCCATAGCTCCTTTTCCAGAAGAAGAGGGATGGGCCTTATACGACCACCAAGGTGCCCATATTTTAGGGTGGGTTGGAACCTAAATTAGCCCCACTTCTTTATCAACTCTTCTTGCTTCTACATGAGCAAACGCCCTATTGGCTACTTAGCTCTACTCTCCATCAGCTCGGAAAACAGTTACTTAACCCTACCTTCACTATTAAACCACATCACTAAAGGCGTCCTCACTAAATAACTTAGAACCAATCTTAAAGGCTTCCAAGAAGTCATTTGCAGTAATGGTGGTGCTGAAATCCACTCCTTCAGTTTCAAAGGACGAAAGAGCGAGAAACGGGGAGGAAGAGATAAAGGGGAGACTTCTTCATGGGTTTTTCTGTCTCTGCCTCAACAAAGTTTTTTTTCAGCCCTGTGCTCACCACTGACCTTCATTTAATATCTCATCCATGCCATTTATTTCCATGAATGCCAATGCTTTCTTTCACTTTTTAAATTTCTAGCCTCTAAAGGACTAACTTAAAATTTACTAAATAGTAATTATAATACTAAATATATTTGTGATTTTGAGAATCTCTCTTCGAATAGTTTAAGGGTGTGTGTGTGGGGGGGGTAATTTCCGCAAACAGACTTAACCCCCAGCGGCTGGTACTACCCTAACGAAAGCCAAGCCAGCAAGAATTGAAGCCACCATGACTATTTGTTCCTGTGTCAAACCAGGCGAGAGCAGGGGTGTTGCCATGTTCTTATAGAAATCAATGCTGAGAATCAGCTAAAATCAATTTGCTGGCCAAGAAGTCCTTGCTTAGAGAAGTCTGAAAACAGACGGTACGAGTAACACCTCAAGGCTCTCTTGAAGACCTCCTCTCACTATAGCCACCAATCCTAAGCTGTTAAGTACCACAGTGTGTACAGACTCAGCTAGCTGTCTATCATAGGATGAGTTCCATGGCAACACCTTGGCCCTCAAACTCTAAGAACATCTTCTCCGACCTTCCCCGTTTTCCAACAGGGCTAGTGAATTCTCTTCACTTCAGCGAAGGGTTTTCCTCATGTTTTTTTGCAGATCAGCACCAACCTCTTCTCGCCTATGCTTTTCTTCTTTGGGGATGTTATCTGCTGGTGCTATGTCCCCAACGATGCATTCTGCCATATCGTGAACCAGGGCTAGGCGTATACATCTGATCAGGTAAGAAACGTTGAATAATTACACAAAATTACATCCACTACAAGTTTCTTTCCTATACTATTTTTAAACTTAATGTGTTTTTTCTTTCTTCCCCACTCATAGCCTAATTTAATACAATATTTTCTAAAGTAATTATATTCTACCAGCCCACATTAGTTCTGAATCAAATTACTTTTGAATATTTAACACAACACTTGAGAGTATAGAGCAGACTGAATTTTTTAAATGGTTGATTTCATAATTCTCACTTTAAGAAGTTCCTAATTTCAAACCACAAAGCCAGGAGACATTTTACAAAAATTTAGAATTGAGTATTTCCTCCAATGTCCTAATGCCAAAAGGATCTATATATAGGGTGATGGGTGAAATCGAACAGATAGGGCTTTAAATGTGGCTACCAACCTTACTAGCTACAGGAAGTTTACCCGATTATGTACTTAACTTAAATGCTCCCTTTTGCTGTCCTTCATTTTATCATATAAAATGGATAACAGGGAGATACAGCTTGTAGAATACTAGTCTACCAATCATCAGGCCCTGAGTTGGATGCCTAGCATCAGAGAAAGAGTATGAAAGAATACTTCATAAAGGAGATACAAAAATCATATTTCATTAACCATGTTCTTGCTCCATACTAGTCATTTAACACATGGCTACCCTTATTAGTCTATGACAATAACCATCAGAATGACAGAGGCAAGCAATGAAGTAGGTGTCCCAGGAGGGGAAGGGCACAGTCAACAAAGACCTTGAAGCCTCCAGTTTCTTTCTAGTCCAGTTCAAACTTCAGACTGAGTTCATCTCAAACTGACTTCATTTTGTTTGGGGCTTTTTTTTTTTTAATGCCAAAACTCCTCTACATTCTGGAAATACCATCTGTAGAGCAACAGGACTCCCCAGGATCACTTTGCTGTAGCCAGCTTGACTGTTTTCTGTGTCTCCAAAGTACTTTGCTTTCTCCCCACCAGGACTTTGATTGTGGCTCCTCTGTGTGTAGCCCTCTACAACTTCTCGACTTGTGCCAACTCTTTAGAAAGAACGCAGCTCAGTGGCCATCCCATCCACGGAGATCATGCAACAGCAGGAGAGCTCCCCACTGTTAGAATAACTGGCTAATTCCCTCCCCTACCTTATTCTGTGATTTTCACTGAAGCCACAGCAAGCCTGGGCAATTCATTTGCTGTCTTCTATGTAAACTCTTGCCCTGTGGTCCCCAAGCATTTTAAAGGGGTGCCTCGTTTAAAACAACCTCAATAGCATGGCCTCACAAATGGCTACCACTATTCATAAAAGCAGCTAGTCCAAAAGCAAAATAAATATGAATGCAAAGACACAATTTTACACAGACTCACCTTCAAGGCCCTACTTTCTTACTTATTTCCACTGACACCAATGCGCATGCTCTAACAACAGAAAACCTACTGTAGTTTGTAACTGAAGCAATCCTCACAGAGTCCAGAGACTGTCACATAACTTACCGATCCTTGTTAAGGAGGTCATCTCTGGTCACCATAGCCATAACCGCCATCCGGTACATGTGATCTGACACACTCTCTGGCTTTTCCACATTCCTGTATACCCAGCCCGTCCGTGGGACTCTCTAATAAAGAAGATAAAGAATTAAACAAATACCACTACTAGAAACGACCACACGACCAATAGATGCTCTTCAAGAAAATGTCAGGGGATGACCACAGAGTCAACCAAGTCATGGTTTCAAACCTATTTTTATTTATATAAGGCCGATGGTGGTGGCGAACACCTTTAATTCCAATACTTGGGAGGCAGAGGCAGGCGGTTATCTATGAGTTCGAGGCCAGTCTGGTCTACAGAGCAAGTGCCAAGACAGGCTTCAAAGCTACATTGAGAAACCGTGTCTAGAAAAACAAAAACAAAACAAAAAAAATGCTTTATTTAAACTAACCATAGTGATCCATACATCTGAAATCAATCAAACTAGTGAGTGAGCAAAATGCAATTCACAGTATACTAAAGTTCAATAGTCATCACTGCGCTACTGAAGTGTAACGACGGGACAATACAAAGATTTCGAAAGAAAGGCAAAACTGGTGGTAAGCCTGGTGCTGCAAACCTGGGATCCCAGCACTCAATAGGTGGAGACCCGAGTTCCAGGCAGCCAGCTGTACTACCAACCTCTGCTCAAAACAAGTACTTCTTAATTAGGAAAAAAACGGGGCTTTGCTTTGTTATTTTTCCTAACTACAAGAGTAGTAGATTTTTGCTATCCCAAAACCCATTTCACAGAAGAAAACAGTAGCATGTTTTGTACATAAACACGTGACAGACTGCCCAGATCTGACACAGAAGGAATACAGGAATTTCTGCCATGGTCAAGACTTTTATTTGGAACATGATGTGATCATGCGAGTCTGCACTTTCCCTGGGAGTTCCATGCTTCTAAAAAAAATCACGATAGTAGTCACAGTTTCAGGGAACCGGTGATCTGGGAACATAGGGGACTCTGCCCAAGCTCTGACAGGCTAGGGCTGATACACGCTGACACTGTGTTACAGACACGATCGCTTCCGGAAGTCACTGCGACAGGGGAAGGTCTCCACTGCTCACTGCAGGGCTCGGCTGCACGGGTAATGGGCGCCGGGACCAGAATGGGCGGCGCCCGGCCCGGAGCTTGCACAGGTTTTGGGTCCCGCCTCGGCCTTCAGCTTGGTCCCCGCCAGCTCCTTCCCAGCACACCCAGGCCGCGCACTGCGGGGTTGAGAGAGGGGAGGCTGCGGGGGGACGGAACCTGAGCCCGAACCGCCGCATCCCGGCCAGGCCGCGCCCGCTCGCTCACCTTAAGCTGCCCCACCAGCCGCAGAAAACGCAACAAGCTGACTCCGTGTGCGGAGGAGGCCGAAGCCATGTTGAAATTCACCTGAACGGTGGCCCGCAGCAGATCCTGTCCCTTCGGCTCCTCCCCTCCCTTCGGCTCCTCCCTATCCCGTCCGGGCCCCTCCCCGCCCCCCTCCGGCTCCTCCCCACCCTCCTTACTTCCTCCCCCGGTGGACCATCTTATTTCTTTGGATAGCTAGGGCTTGGACTTTGCATGGTCGGTGATAAAGCAACCCTTGTCCACTTTCAACTGCATGGTAGTTCGATGCTAAGAGCATAAGGGCCTGAGGAGGAAGAGGTTGGATATTGCCTGCAAACCTTGAACTTAGAAGTTCAGGGTCTGATTGGCCTGAAGTGCTAGCTCTAAGGAGCTCCACTTACAGGTCATATATCCACCACCATTTAACAGAAGCACTGGGTACAACTATGAAGGCGGAAATGAGTGGCAGATATACCAGGAGACTTTGGCGGAGGCAGAAAATGGGCTAGGATCACAACCTCTTAATACCTCAAGTACTGAAGCATCCCCCCCCCCCACACACACACATAAATGTTGGTATAGAGTAGATTCCGTGAACAGAACCCAGTATTATAGTCAGCTCCACAGTGGACTTTGAACGTTGGGGTATGGTGTAGTGATGGAGCACAGCAGGCCCGAAGCCCCAAGTGATCTCCAGCAACTGAGGGCCGGTGAGTACTTTATCACTGTTTGGATTTCTATAAAATAAAAGCCCAAGCTTCAGATGCCAACACTCACCATGCTGCCTTGCTATGCTAAGTTCTTGTGTTGAAGACCCCATTCCTATTTCTATTATTGTCCCTATCTGCTTTCTCCCGATAGATCACGCCAGTAGGAACTCCTCAGTGTGCCCCCCAGAGTGTTTTCAATCTGAAGTCATCACAGTCAACATGCCTGTGAAGGTGGCTCTTCAAATTATAAAACCTGTCTGGACATAATCCAACAGGACTCCAGTGATCTTAAGTAGCTCCTTGTTTTCCGCTCTAGTTGGCAGTGTGAACCTGGGAGAAACTGGCCGAAAAACTAGGCAGGCTAAAGCCTCATGCCGTGGCCAACTTTATTCAGTGATCAGACAATTTATACTCTGAGGGTTAAGAAGAGTCACCTGAGTGAAGTGTACAATCACTAGGGCAAGTTGGATGTAGCAAAACTGTGCTTTTCTTTCTTTCTCTTTCTTTTTTATTTTATTTTTTTGTTGATTTTTATTGAGCTCTACATTTTTCTCTGCTTCCCTCCCTGCCTCTCCCCTCCCCTTCAACCTTCTCCCAAGCTCCCCATGCTCCCAATTTACTCAAGAGAGCTTGTCTTTTTCTACTTTCCATGTAGATTAGATCCATGTAAGTCTCTCTTAGTGTCCTCATTGTTGTCTAGGTTCTCTGGGATTGTGGTTTGTAGGCTGGTTTTCTTTAAAAACTACCTATGAGTGAGTACATGTGATATTTGTCTTTCTGTGTCTGGGTTACCTCATTCAAAATGATGTTTACTAGCTCCATCCATTTGCCTGCAAAATTCAAGATGTCATTTTTTTCTGCTGTGTAGTACTCCATAGTGACCACCGTTTCCTTATCCATTCTTTGGTCGAAGGGTATTAAGGTTGTTTCCAGGTTCTGGCTATGACAAACAATGCTGCTATGAACATACAGGCATATGAATAACAACAGCTGGAGTAAATTCTCTCCTAAGCAACCTGGGAGGAGCAGGAAAACACATCCAAGAACAATTCTAGGTTTTGAAGAAGCCGAGGTCACAAGAGTCTTCTTGCAGTTTTCTCCCGAGCACTCAGGAGTCCCCTGACACAACTCCATTCTTGGACTATGTTCTGGCAGCACCTATCACTTACATCAAGATTTATCAATAAAAGGAGATCATTCCTATTAGAATAGGAGCCCAGGAAACAGGATCCCTTGTAAAGAGACACAGTGGTGTTCAGTGATGTAAGTAAGCCTCAGGAGTTTAATGCAACTTCTGATGGGCAAAGGGTGCTAGTGGATTATCACTGTGCCGATTGTGTATTGTCCCTAGAGAAGCAAGGCAGTGTAGACCGGAAGGAACCACATGGCACTCTCCTGCTGACTTCAGTCTCCTTGCTTGTGTAGCAGCTATTTAAAGTGGGCCATGGAGTTACAACCGCCATTATTACTATGTTGTCTGCAAAGAAATTTGCTCAAGGCAATATCTACAAAATAGCTTATTAAAAAATATTTCACACTCTCAAGGACTCATTCATTTTCTTAGTGATTATAAGTTCTCCAAAGGCAAAGGCTTTACAGTGCCACTAATGAGTACTGTAAGACCTAATCCTGAGGCTCCAAACGCACCCAAGAAACACTGTTCAGGTCCGTAACTGCATTAGTTACTCTTTTGTTGCTGACACTGGGGGCTGTGCCCCTTGTACTGTGTCTCACTGTGATGGTCAAGGTGCCTTTAATGGTCAAGGTGACACAATCTAGAGTCACCTGAGAAAAGTATCAATGAGGGGACAGGTGATGTAGATCGGGTAGGCCTGGAGGGACATCTGCGAGGGACTGTCTGGAGGATGCAGGAAGACCCAGCCTGAAAAGCACAAAGCCGGCAGAGCGGCAACCGGGCACACACTCACCCGGTGCTCGTTTCTCTTGACTCTAGACGTGCAGAGGTGATGTGACTGCTTCTCTAGGCACTGTGACCTGCACTGTGCGCTGAAACAAACCCTTTCTCCCCTCTGTTGTCTGTTCTCAAGGCGTTTTATCACAGAGTCAGAAACAAAGCTAGGGCGGCCTTTTCTGTGCTTCCCGTCCACGAGGATGCTCGGCTCCACCGCCCGCCCCAACCACGATGGATGAGCCTCTGACACCCTGAGGGAAAAAAAAAAAATAAAGATTTCCTTATGTAAGTTGTTTTTATCCAGAATTTGGGAACACTGGCACAAAAGCCTGATGAATACAAAGAAAAACCAAACCAAATCCTATGGGGCTTAGATTACAGTTGGGGGAGAAGAGTTACGTGAGGGGACGCCCCAATATGTCAGGTGGTGTGATGTGACCACTGGTTGTCAATTCAATTGGCTTTTTAAAGCACTTAGGGAATTAAAGAAGCACGCTAGACAGAACTGACTTAGGAAAAACCCTGCCCTGAACGCAGATCCAACAGGAGGGAGAGCCTGACTGGGTAAGGAAAGGGACAGAAATGGAAAAGGTGTAGTCGTATTCTCTCTCTCTCTCTCTCTCTCTCTCTCTCTC